TGAGATGGATTGATTCGGTGACTGGGGTGATCGGGATGGGTGTGTCGGAGGCGGTGCGGTTGGCGCAGGATAGAGCAGGGTTTAGGGCTGTTGTGCATAGGGTCGCTATGAGTCGAAAACGACTCGAAGGCACATAACAACAACTGTAGTCGTATGTAGACAGAGAACTGTAAGAGGTTCAGACTGCATTTAGAAGCACCCATGGCACCAGGGTTATCATTCTTGATGTCAGATGAGTTCTGGCAGAAAACTGACTACCAGAAGAATGTCTTATTTGTGCTTTATTAACTATACAATGGCATTTGACTGCAGTGGCAATTAATTTCACAACAGTTATGTATGGCTAACATTGGGAATAATAGGAATCCCTGAACACTTAATTGTCCTTGTGTGAAACCTATACCTATACCAAGAGGCTGTTGTGAAAATAGAGCAAGAGAACAACACTACATCGTGTAAAATTGGGAAAGGTGTGCATCAGGGTTGTATCCTCACTCCATACCTATGCAATCAATATGCTAAGCAACTTATTTGAGAACCTGGACTCTGTGAAGAAGGATGTTGGGTTAAGATTGGAGGAAGACTCCTCAATAAGCCTTCATTATGTGGATGACACAGTCTTGCTTGCTGAAGGTGAGATTTTTTTAATACTTGTTACAGAAGGTAACAATAAGGCTCTCAATATGGATTGTATCGCAAAACAAAAATCCTTGCCGCTAGACCGATAGGCAACATCATGATAGATGGAGAAAAGATTGGAATCATCAACAACTTTATCTTACTTGGATCTGCAGTCATTACAGTTGGGTACCAGCAGTCGGGAGATCAGGAAACTTACTGAACTGGTAGAGTCTGTAGTCAGGGATTTCTCCAAATTATTGAGGGGCAATAACGTCAGTTTGAGGATTGACGTGTGCCTGATTCAGGCCATGGTCTTTTCAATAACTTGCTGTGCATCTGAGAGCTGGACATTGAATAAAGATGCCAGAAGAATTGATGTCTTTTTAACAATGGTGTTGGAGAATAGTGCTGAATATCCTGTGGACAGCCAAAAGAAAAAACAGAAACCTGACAAAACAGAAACCAGAAAGTTGGAGAAAGTGCACCCAGTGTGCCGCTTGGAGGTGATTAACCGTCATCACACATACTTTAGGCAGGTTACTAGGGGAAATTACTCTTTGGAGAGGGGCACTGTGTTTGGAAAGGTGGAAGGATGGCAAAGGAGAGGAAGATACCAACCAGGTGGATCAACACAGTCACTACAGCAGTGGGCTTGAGTGTATCAGAGATTGTGAAGATTGCACAGGATAGGACAGGGCTCCTATCTGCTCATAGGATCACTCTGAGTCAACTCACAGCACCTAGCAACAACAAGTTAATGTCTCAGGGGAGCTCTGGTGGACTATTGTTTACTTTGGAGTTGAAACTGACCCATAGCTGACCTCAGCAGGTTTTGAGAGGCAGTGAATAACAGGAGCGGACTTTGCCTATCCTTCTCCTGTGGAGCACCTGGTAGATTGAAACTGTGTGCCTTTGGGATTGCAGTACAGAACCATGCTGCCAACCTCAAAGGTAGATCATTGAAATCCACCCTCTGCTCTGAGGGAGAAATAGGCATATTCTCCAGTGATTTATAGCTTCTGAACATACACTGGGAGGTCGGCTATGGATCACTTCCTACTATACCGCACGTAGCAACATTAATGTTTCTTCTTTTTATTGTGATTTTTAACCAAAGTTTACAGAAAACATGGATTTCCATTAATTCATTGTTGCACATTTTCTTCCTTTCCTCCCCCAATCCCTCTCCAGTTGGCTTTTCTCAAACTCCAGTCTGTTTTGCTATGCACCTCTTATTCTGGACTGTTGTCATACGGATAATACCAAATCATATATTCCTTTTGAACAATTTTCCCCTCATCTGTTTCAATTCAGTCAGTGTTCATTATTTATTCCCTCTTTTCTTAGTTACTCCCAACCCCAATGTCAGTCCTATTTTATAATAGTGGTATTATGCAGTATTTTTCCTTTGGTAACTGAGATATTTCACTCAGCATAATGTCCTCCAGAGTCACTCATTTGGTATAATATTTTATGAATTCTTGTTTTCAGCAATGTGTAGTATTGTGTGAATACACCACAGCTTCTCTATCCGTTCATTTTTTTGATGGGTACTTGGGTTGGTTCCATCTCTTTGCTATTGTGAACAGTGCAGCAATAAACAGGAGTATGCGTATACATTAATGTTTCTTAAATTTCTGACTTTATTCTTAAATTAATCCAAAACTTGTAAGACTCATTTATTTTTAGAACTATTTCTTAGCCTGTTTCCAAAGGAGCAGATGCACCATGGGTTGGAAAATTGTCCGCATCAATAATACCCATAAGCAACAAATAGCTAAATAGGTATGGCATGGCATGCACACCCTCCCCCCAATACCCTATACCTATGTCCACCAATCATTTGGGTCCCATATTCTTTGTTGACTCACTGATTTTACTCACAGTTGTGGTACTGAGAGTGGAGTTTATTTGTGAAATAGGTTGGAGAGTGGGAGAGGCAAAGAATATCTCACTATACAAGTCCAGGTTTAATCCAGTAATTCCAAACCAGATTAACAGTAAAACAAAATTCCTTAAAAAGTTCAGATTCAGTTTAGCAGCACACATGCAAAAACTTCTGGTTTTGGTTTTCTTAATCATCCAGCAAATGTTGTCTCAGCAGTCAGCTATTCTTTCAGTCATCTAGCAAGCAAAACCTTTAACTGGCTTTTGTCTCAGGGTTCCTCTGTTTATACTTGTTCTTGTCTCTTCATAGCACACTTGCCTCTTTCCACCACTGTCACCAAGGTCACGATCTACAGTGTGGAAAGCACTCTTATCTTTTATGTTAGTCCCATGGCTGTTGATTTGCAAGATCCATGTGTCTGCATTTAAGGGAGCTGGAGACCAGCAAAGGCTACACAACGGCTAGAAAAGACAACTTTAAATAACACCACACCTATATAAATTACATTAACAATGAAGGTGGTTTACTTTTTACGTGACTGTTCTAAAAATTACTTAGGGGTGAGTGTTGAATCATGAACCATAAAGCCTACCTCTGATTTCAAAAGCAGTTAAGCAAGTAGGACTTACTACCTACACAACTTCTACAACTAGCTGTACAAATTCATACCATGTCAGAATTTCAAATCACTGTATGAATAATACACATTGAGTTTTTTATGTTTACAGATAAAAAAGATTTTATATCTCTAGTTCAAGTTTTTGGGGACCATTTTCTTTACTTGAGAAGTCATGAAATGCACTTACCATTTCTTAAAATTTTTATTATTTAAAACATATATGTTTCATGTCTAAGGCTCAAAATTGGTTTTTAGCTCCTGTTTTTTATTTATTGTTTTCAAAAAAGCTGACCTTGGGAAAGATCCCTGTTAAAATTGGTGTCTTTTATATTATTACCCAAGGTTTAATTTACATCATTTGAAATCTAATAATTTGCTTAGAATCACCAGCAGTGATTTGAAAGTGATTTTGAAAGGTTGTTTTTTTTTAAGTATTGCGAGGGAGTCTTCTGAGTTAGAAATTTTAAATTGACACAGGCAAAATCAGTGATCCATCTTTGTGTGATTATTAGGTCTTAGTAATTTGAAGTTACATGAGTTTGAAGTAGATTCCGACTCATAGTGACTTCTTCATAGGGTTTTCAATAAAAAAGCTGGGTTTTTGCACATAGTTTACGAAGCTTTTCTCTCCCATCCTGAGTGCCCCTGATTCTCAGCAGTCAAGCATTAAAGGTTTTTAACACAAAGGGACTCCCTTTACTTCTAAAGACCTGTGTATGTAAATAGATCAGAGTCAAGAGATTACATTCAATGAAATGAATTAGAATTTATGATGTGGAATTAGCCCCCTGGACTCAGTTTAGATGATCCCAATTTTGTTAACATCCAAAGCATTATAGTCAGGAACAAGTTGAACATAGGCCTTCTTCTCTCAATCAGGCCTAATCAGAGTGTTGACCTTAGCCACATCAATGCCATAGAGCTTCTTTTTTCTTTTTTTTTTTTTAAATTTTATTGTTTTTGTGTGTGTACCGTCAAATCAGATCTGACTGGTACAGGAGGAGATTGTCCCTCCTTCCTCGGCAGAGCATCTGGTGGATTCAAACCGTGCGCCTCTGGGATTGTAGTTGCAGCTCCTTACCACTAGGCCACCAGAGCTCCCCGCCATAGAGCTTCTTTACAGCTTGTTTGATTTGGTGCTTGTTGGCCTTGACATCCACAGTGAACACAAGTGTGTTGCTATCTTCTATCTTCTTCATGGCTGACTCAGTGGTTAGGGGAAATTTGATGATGGCATAGTGGTCAAGCTTGTTTCTCCTGGAGGCACGCTACCAGGAGTATTTGGGCTGCCTTCGAAGTCTCAGCATCTTAGGTCGCCAGAAGGTGTGTGACATGTGGATCTTCAAATTTTTTTTTTTTTGGCTGTGGATTCCCTTCAGGACTGCCTTCTTGTCTTTAATGCCTTTGCTTTGGCTTTAGTTTTGGGAGGGGCAGAGGCTTCATTCTTTGCTTTCAGCGCCATCTTCGTAGAAAGCAGAATTTATGTATATTTTTAACATTTTACTGTCAAGTTTTTAGTGTTTCTTTTGTGTGCTTAAGATGTTTAGAAATACAGTAAAAGTAAACTCCGTGTTTTTGGTTGTTAGCTTTTTTGCATTGCTCTCAATTGTAGAGATATAAAAATAAATGTCTTCCAAGAGGATATAATGATTGAAAAGGTAGAGGGTAAGCAAAAGAGAGGAAGACCTTCAACTAGATAGACTCAGTGATTGTAGCAATGGGCCCAAGTGAGTCCGAGATGATGAGGATGGCACAGGATAGGACAGAGTTCAGGTCTGTTCATACAGGGTCGCTATGAGTTTGTACTCAACTTGATGGCACCTAATAACATAAATGAGTGTTTTAGAAGTGTTAAAACCTTTATAATTGTGTCACAGAATAAACACTTTCTTAATTTACATTTTAAAATATTACAGTAATTTACTTGAGCTTTATAATCTAATTCAGTTTTTAAAAGAATGAATAAAACAGCAAATATAAAAAAATTTTTACTTTTGTAAAGTAGAACATTTAGAACAGAAGAAACATTACTTCTTTTGTCAAACAAGCATGTACCCATTACTTTTCATATATTTTCCATAATGCTTTTAACTATCCTAAAGCTATTTGTATTAAGCATGGCTTTGCGTTCTCCTAAAAAAAAAAGCCAAACAAACAAAAACCCCAGAACAAATGAATGGATTGAAAAATGATGATATATTCATACAACAGAATACTATGTAGCACTGAAAAACAAGGAACTCTTAAAACATTACACAACCTGAGTGACCTTGGAGGACACTATGCTGATTAAAATCTCAGTTACAAAAGGACAAATACTGCATAAAACCACTGTTAGAACAGATTGATAACGGGATTAGGAGGAAACGAGGAAAAGGGGGCATAGATAATCAACGCTACTGGAACAGATGAAGGAAAGAACTGTTTAAAAGGAATATATATGACAACAGCCCAGAATAAGAGGTGCATTGCAAAGAGGACTAGGGTGGAAGTGGGAGGGAGGACATTGTGCAACATTAACGAGTATTTTTAAAAAATGAACTGGAGGATGAGGAGAATGTACAACAATGAATGAACAGAAATCCAACTTTTCTGTAAACTCCATAATAAAAAAGCATGCATTGCTTGTATGTTTTTAAAAGTATCTTATTTTTTAAGTTTGCTTTAGAAGGGAACCTATTAAAAAATTTATCTAATTTTATGAAAATGGGAGACCGCTGCTGCCATCAGTTTGATTGCAGTTTGTAGCAACTCTATAGCAGAACTGCACCATAGGGTTCCACGGTTTGTCATCTTTATGCAGACAGACTGCAGTGTTTCTCTGGTGGATTGCCTACTGAGTTCAACAGCTGACCTTGCATTTCTTAGCCCAGCATTTAACCCCTGCACGAAACAGTGGTTAATAGTGATGAGACTAGGTGGAAGGCAACTTGAAAGAGCTTGTGAAAAAGAAAGGAGCGATGGAGGCTCAGCAGGTATAAAGTAGGACCATATCAAACCAGTTTTGCTGGGTCACATTATAAAATACTTGTTATGCACTGTCAAGTCATAACCGACCCGTAGCTGACCTTCCAGTGGGGATTCCAAGGCAGTAGTAAATCACCTGGGAGGAGCGGACTCCTCTTTCTTGCACTGAGCAGCTGGTAGTTTCTGACTCTGAACCTTATGCTTTGGGGTTGGCAGTGAAATCCTTACCACCAAGCCACCAGTGCTTCAGTGAAATAATTGGTTTAATTTATTACTCATGTCTGGATTATTTCATAAACTATTTGGACTCCTGCCCCTTGTGGTTTAATGTTGAGTGTATTACATATCATGGAAGAGTATTTATTGAACAACTTGGGTGTCCCGAAAAAGTGTAGGTGGGTTTTGTGCCATTTTGTCCTATGGATTCCTAGGAGAAAGGTCTAGTGTTCTGCTTTAGGCAGGCAAGAAAATCCTTACTAGTTATGCTCTGTCACACAGAGTTAAAACTGACTCAGCAACACGTAGCAGTAATGTATGCCATGTAGAAACTCCTATGTCATTGCCAACAGAGGGAGCTCTATTATCTTGGGAAATAAGAATTACAGGCACTTTGTAATAGTTCTTAGTAGTAAATGATGATTAGTATCTTCCTTAAACAGAAGCTACTTTTTGTTTAGGCAAGGTTTCTTTTAAATTTGATAAATGTAGTATCCAGTTTAAAGATGAATGAAGTTTCAGACTGTAATTGACTTCTGGAAGCAGAGTGGAAAAATGAAGCTCAAGATACTGAAATTAGTTAAGCTAGTCAGGTGGCTCAGAAAAAGCATTTGTACTTGGAAAGTTCACCTGGAACCCAGACCAGATAATAGTGGTGTCGTTACCCAATTTGGTATAATTTTTCAGGTGTGTTAACTTATCTGGTATGAGCATATCCAAAGCATAATTCCTTTTCTTGCTATTATTTATTCATGCTCATTTCTGTCGATCTTGAACCAGTTTGCTGGGTTTCTGAAACTATAAATTGCACAAATTTCTGGTATTTCTACCTTGGAGTTGCTTGTGACTTCAAACTGTTGAGAGGCTTTGCTTGCAGCGCTGACTCCCTTTGCACTATATCGTTCATGTACCTTTCTACTCCAACTTAAATAGAAATGTTTCTAAAAATTTATAGATTAGCTTAAGCATTAAAGGAGATTAGAAGAGGGGACAAAAATTACTTAAACAGTTATTTTAGTGAGTTATACAGGAAATGTGGTAGGGTACAGGATACAAAGTAGCATAAGAAAAGTAATTCTTCTGGACTGGAGGGTAAGTTGAAAACAAGTCCTAAGAATGTATCCTAAATGTAAAAAAATTAAAAATTAATTTGATCTATATATAATTAGATACCAAGACTAGCTTCATTTTAAAATGTAAAATTAAAAAGTAATGAACTTTTTTGAGACTTCAAGGTGGAGTTTTTTTGCTACAAAACTATTTTTTTATTAACTGAGAATATGTTAGCATTATTGTAATTTAAAATTTTCTTATGTAGAATCTCAGCATCAGCCTCTGCTGTAGAGTTCTTAATAAAGACCTGATAGTTCTTGTATAAATTTAAAAAATTAGAAATTACAGTAAAGTTACATTTCTGCGTCACTTTATTTGAAAATGATGTCTTGGGTGAGAGAACATAAAAGGAAAAGGAAGTACTGTAATAATTCTTTTTTAATGTTACACTGAATTATTGTTCGTTAGGGTGAGAATTGCTTAGAGCACATTTTCCAAGAAAAATAGTGTTGAATTTGTTCAGATAATTTAGGCCTTATCATCTTAACATTTTATGAAGTAGAATTAACCTTACGAGAACTGTTCATGTTGTTGCAGGCAGCTTCTTCAAATACTGGCCAAATATGCTGAAGATACATTGAGATTCTGTTATGCAGCTGTGTGATTCTGAATTTTTGTTCTGTTTGTGTTTGTTTAGAGTGCTGCTGCTACGGCTGCTACCTTGGCCCTCCCTGCAGGTGTGTCTCCTGTTCAACAACTACTAACAAATCCAGGTATTTAGGAATAGCAGGACAGTTATTTACATAACTCTGAAATTGGCAACGTTTGATCTTTATTACTTGTCTTTGTTTAGAGGCAAGATTCTCCCTATTTCTGTTGCCATTTTGTGTAACTTATTAAAATAATATTTCAGGGTTGTAGCCCATTAATTTATAATCATTGTTGAGGATATAGGAGAGAATATGAGAGGTACACTTGATCTTGAGTAAGAATTTTATTATTCAGAATTGTTGAAAGCAGCATAATTTGATTATTTACTTAAATTTTTATAAAATATATTTAATAAAATGTGCTAAATTTGATTCACTTTAATTTGTGATAAAAAACTGAATAAATAATCTTAGCGCAAATTTCTTTTTATATATAGTAGCTCTGTGTATATTGACAAGACTGGTATTAAGCTTCTAATTTTTGGTTTATTAAAGTTTGCATGGTTTATTTACGTGAATTTTAAGCTTGTTTTTAGTTTCTTATGTGTCAAGAAAAGCTTACCAATGAGTGCTATTTTTGTTAATTCCAGAATTTGTAGAGGAGCTAAGTAGGATTCTTGTGTAGCTGTGTAGTTGAGTAAGATTTAAGTGTTTACTTTTATTACATTCCCAGTGCTAGGTTATCTGAGTCACAGAGAGATTTGTTCTAAATGTGTAGTTAGGTCATGTAATTTGTTTTATATGGCAATGATAATTGGCTCAGAATTTTACTGCTTTTAAACACTTTTGAAGATCCTCGCTTGGTTCAGTATTGTAAATGAACTATTATGCTTTCATTTCTTTAAGCCTTTAGACATTAAGAACACGTGAAATGTGTGGTCTTATTGTTCTCCGTGACTTCCAGTGTTGTTGTTTGCTGCCCAATTGGAACTGGCCCATAGCTTATCCTCCAGTGGGTTTTCAGAGACAGTAATCTCATGGGTATTGATTTCACATGCAAGCAAGACTCTACTGAAGATTATCTAAAAATGACTGAAACAGTACATCAGCAGAGAACTGCCAGAAGTCCAGGCTCGTTTTAGAAGGGGTCATGGTACTAGGGATATTGTAGCCGATGTTAGATGGATCTTAGCTGAAAGCAGAGAATACCAGAAGAATGTCTATCTGTGTTTCATTGATTATGCAAAGGCATTTGACCGCGTGGATCATAACAAACTGTGGCTGACTCTGAGAAGAATGGGAATCCCAGAACATTTAATCGTGCTAATGCGAAACCTATACTTGGACCAAGAGGCATTCGTCAGAACAGAGCAGGGCAACGCTAAATGGTTCAAAATTGGGAAGGGTGTACGCCAGGGATGTGTCCTATCTCCATACCTTTTCAACCTGTATGCAGAGCAGATTATCCGAGAGGCTGGGCTCTATGAGGAGAAGCGTGGCGTTAGGATTGGTGAAAGATCTATCAACAGTCTGCGTTATGCAGATGACACAACCTTGCTCGCTGAAACTGAGGAGGACCCCATGCACTTACTGCAGAGGGTCAAGGACTGCAGCCTTCAGTATGGACTGAGACTCAGTGTCAAGAAGACAAAGATTCTCACCACTGGACCAATTGGTAGCATCAGGATGGATGGCGAAGAGATTGAGATTGTCCACAACTTCAGTTTGCTCAGCTCCACAGTCAACACTCTTGGCACCAGTAGCCAGGAAATCAAAAAACGTATTGCGATGGAAAAGTCTTCCGTTAGGGACCTCTCTAAAGTACTCAAGAGCAGCGGTGTCTCTTTTGAGACGAAGGTGCGCCTGATACTGGCCATGGTCTTTGCAATCACTTGTTATGCATGAGAGAGCTGGACAGTGACTAAGGAGGACAGAAGGAGAATTGACGCCTTTGAGCTGTGGTGCTGGAGAAGAGTATTGAAAATACCATGGACTGCCAAGAAAACAAACAGATTCATCCTAGAGAGGGTTAAACCAGGCTACTCCTTGGAGGCAAGGATTCTGGGGCTTCGTCTGACGTACTTTGGACATGTTGCAAGGAGAGACAGGTCTTTGGAGAGGAACATCATGCTGGGTAGAGTAGGGGAACAGCGCAGGAGGGGAAGACCCTCTATGAGATGGATCGATTCAGTGACTGGGGTAATCGGGATGGGTGTGTCAGAGGCAATGAGATTGGCACAGGATAGTGCAGGGTTTAGGGCTGTTGTACATAGGGTCGCTATGAGTCGCAAATGACTCGACGGCACATAACAACAACAATCTCATGGTAGGAAATTGCCAAATTTTTTTCCAAGGGACAGGTGGTGGATGCGGACCACGTGCCTTTGGTATTGCAGCGCTGCTTCTTACTCTACTAGGCTACCAAAGTGCTCCCTGGTGTATTAGCAAAAATGATTTAAAATTTTATAACCTTTTGCTCAGCCTTACTGGGAAACAGCTGAGTAAAGATAATTAAGATGGAAGAGAAAACATGTTAAACAATGCATTGAATATGGGGTGTAATTAGGTAAGGATTAAAGTTTACTGAGTGTGAATGATCACTTAGCAAAGTTAAAGTGATTTTTGTGGTTACTTCTGAGGCCTTTTGAATTTTTTTCTTTTTCAGTATGAATTAAATATAGTTAAGTCCCTAGGTTTTGAACATCAGACTTGTCCTTAAATAATGCCTAAATTTGTTCACACTTTGAAATGATTAACCTTAGGGAGCTCTGCTGATAAGGTACTGCACTGCAGTCTTGAAGGCACGTGGTTCAGATCTTCAGCTAGCTACTCCATGGGAGAAGGCTGGGCAGTCTTCTCCCGTGCAATTTACTGTCTTTGCAAACCTGGAGGGTCCTGTGTGGGTTGGTTTTATCTTGATGGTACTTGTCAGTTCAGTAACAGTACAGGGAGCTCTGGTGTAAGAACTGCACTGCCAGCCCAAAGGCACAGGGTCCGAATCCGTCAGCCGTTCCACGGGAGAGAGGGGCATCCTGCTCCTATGCGATGTATAGCTTCTGAAAACCCGCTAGAGTGGCCCCTATGAGTTGGTCTGACCTGACAGCATGTGAGAACCACCCTTGCTCAAAAATTCTGAATCACAGTTGCTTTCATTTGCTATACATGCCACTTTTCAGTCATTGAAAAGACGTTAGAGTCTTTTATTAATTAAAACCATTGACATCAAATAAATTTGGGGACATACCTACCCTGTAGAACAGAATAAAGCAGCCCAGGGAGTTCCAGTGCTCTTACATTTATATGGAAGCAGCCTCTTATTGGTGACAGGATTTTAACTGAAAAACCATACCCACTGTTGTTAAATCAGTTCGAACTCATAGCAACCTTCCATCAGGTTTCCGAGGCTATATAGAAATCTTAGGAGAATATATTGCCCATCTTTCTCCTGGCTGGTGGATTAGAACTTGCTGGTAATACTCAACTATGCCACTATGGCTTCTTTGCTTGCGCCAAATAAGGCTTAGTTAGACATAATATGCACTGCTTTGATACACCTACAAATATAGGTGTAAAGACATAAAGTAACAATAAATGTACAATGAGGACTGTGCTTGTTTTGAATTCTTTTGACTTCCAGAAAGGTAATTTGGAATGCACACTTTCTCTTTAGGCCAGCTTTTTCAGGTGGTCAGAGCAGCCAACGGTGCCCAGTACATTTTGCAGCCGCAACAGCCAGTGGTTCTCCAACAGCAGGTTATACCGCAGATGCAGCCTGGTGGGGTACAGGCTCCTGTTATACAACAGGTAAAAAAATGAGGGCGCACCACGGGACTCCTTTTTTCTCCTTTCTACATCAACCTCCTGAGTGATTTTCTCTCCTTTCCCAGGCCTTTAGTAACATAAATGCCCAAGCTCCTCTCCATTGCTGCCGATCCCACTCTGCTGGGTATCCTCATGTACACCTTACATCTTAAATTCAACGCTCGCTCTCTTTTTGAGTTGACTTTTTAAAAAAAATTATTTATTCATTTATTTTTAATTTCAGTGAACACCTACAGAGATTTTGGAATTTCATTCATTCATTGTTGCA